GGACGAATCCTCTTGAAGAAGTGGAGAATGATATGAACCAAAAGACATCAATCATACAATATACTTCAATGAAGATGTGAAGAAAAGGTTGTTAAAATTATCAAAAGATGTTTCAATTCATGCCACATTGAAGAAGAATGAAGTTTGATTGTTATAAAAAATTTTGGGTGGGTTACCATTTAGAGTTATTGTATTTCATTTATGTATTTTAAGACTTTATTTACTGGTTACAATTACATAATGGTTAATTATGGCCATTAAGTATGAATGTTACAACTCTTGGAATGACTTTAGTAGTTTCATTTTGAGGCTATATAAAGCTATGTATGTTGTATGTGTAAGGGACTTGAAAAATATAGTAAAAAGAAGCATTTGTGCTCTTCTTTAGCCAATGGCTAAGTTTCTTTGCAATTCTATGTAGTTTAGGTTGCATGTAGAATCATTCAAGCTCGACATGATCAATCTTGCTTGTGGAGTGATTCGAATCTCATGGAAGTGTTCTTGCCTTGAGATATTTGATCAACAAGAATCATTCAAGCTAGACATGATCGATCTTGCTTGTGGAGTGATTCGAATCTCAAACAATGTTCTTGCATTGAGATATTCGATCAACAAGGTAATTTGAATCTTACTCCCCTTGTAGTGGTTCCTTTTCTTATCATTTGGTATCAGAGCTTCAGGCTCAAGATCGGATATATGTTTCCTTTGCATTTCTTTTCAATTTGTTTTTATCTTTTTAGTTTTTAATCGACCCAAAATAAAAAAAATCAAATCTGGGCTCTACTAGAAAATTTGAGAGGTGAGGATGAGAGATTCATTTGTGTAAATGAGTGCAAACAGAGTGGCCTAAAATTCCTTGAGTGTATACACGTGAGAGAGTGTTATGAGGTCCTTTGTATTTCCATAACTTATTTTTTGCAGCAAAGTTTCACAAATAGATTCGAGGACGAATCCTCTTGAAGAAGTGGAGAATGATATGAACCAAAAGACATCAATCATACAATATACTTCAATGAAGATGTGAAGAAAAGGTTGTCAAAATTATCAAAAGATGTTTCAATTCATGCCACATTGAAGAAGAATGAAGTTTGATTGTTATAAATTTTGGGTGGGTTACCATTTAGAGTTATTGTATTTCATTTATGTATTTTAAGACTTTATTTACTGGTTACAATTACATAATGGTTAATTATGGCCATTAAGTATGAATGTTACAACTCTTGGAATGACTTTAGTAGTTTCATTTTGAGGCTATATAAAGCTATGTATGTTGTATGTGTAAGGGACTTGAAAAATATAGTAAAAAGAAGCATTTGTGCTCTTCTTTAGCCAATGGCTAAGTTTCTTTGCAATTCTATGTAGTTTAGGTTACATGTAGAATCATTCAAGCTCGACATGATCAATCTTGCTTGTGGAGTGATTCGAATCTCATGGAGGTGTTCTTGCCTTGAGATATTTGATCAACAAGAATCATTCAAGCTAGACATGATCGATCTTGCTTGTGGAGTGATTCGAATCTCAAACAATGTTCTTGCATTGAGATATTCGATCAACAAGGTAATTTGAATCTTACTCCCCTTGTAGTGGTTCCTTGATATTTTTTTTTTTTTTTTTTTTTTTT